TATATTTATGGACAAAAACAAAAGATAATACTAGTAAGAGTTTTTTAAAAAAAAAAAAAATCAAAGAATACTAGTAAGAAAAAGATTAGAAAAAAGAGAATTTTTTAAATAATATATTTATGGACAAGATAGTATATTGTTATGATTGTGGTATTGTCATTTTCCTTATGAAATATTAATTATCTAAATCATACTTAGAATCTTATTTTAATTCAATTAAATCTTAACCATTAATTCTTACCTTTGCCATGTGTCTCACATCCAAGCAAAAACTTGGGGAAAATGGAGAGGAGCCAGATCCAATGTATTATATTAGTTATAATATTATTTAAATTATTTTGTGATAGAACTAAACATATATATAACTAATAGAGAAAAAATATAAAGTGACACCTAAAGTTGTCTCGAATTTTTAAAAAGACATTTTAACTATCTTAACTATGTGGGTGTCCTGTTACCCCACAAAAGTATTACTCCCTCCGTCCCATTTTATGTGATGTACTTTGATTTGGCACAAACTTTAAGAAAAATGGAAAGACTTTTAAAACTTGTGGTCCAAAATGAATGATAGAAATTTGTGTGGTTGTAAATCATTTCATTAAGGGTAAAAAAGACATTTCATAGGCAAATTGTTACTTAAAATAGAAATGTGTCATTCTTTTTGGGACTGACTAAAAAGGAAAGTGAGTCATATAAATTGGGACAGAGGGAGTAGTAAATACCTTTATAAACAAGGCTTTTTGAACCATTTTCTCATCTATGAACAAGTGTGTGATTCTCACCCCTTTTAATTAATTAATTTAATTTAAAAAGTAGATTAACCTGATCCGAATCGTTCAAAAACAAAAATTCTTGGTAATACTTAAAAATAGAAAAACCCACAAAATTCTCCTTCAAAGTTCCAATTTTTAATCAACCACCCACAAAATTCTAACTCAAATTCCTCAACCCACAAAAGTCTAACTCAAATTCATCAACCCTCTTCATGACAATTTTACTCCTTAGATCGATTAAATTGACTCAGAAATCTCTAGCTATTGCTCCTGCAATATACAACAATGGCGGCTCTTTCCCTTTCTCCCTCCGTGGAACAACTTTTCATTGTCACCATAGCTACCCAACTGGTTCTTCTTCTCCCAATACTGCTTCTCCAACTTTGTTATCAAATGACTACTAATTAATTTTTGGATTGAAAATTAAATCGAATTCTTATATTTTTGAGCCGATTTCATCTGACAGAGAGAGTGTTGGTTTTTTCTATTAAAACCTTCAACCAAAGGCTCTCTTGAAATTTTGGGGAAGATGTGCATTTAAAAATGAATTAAATAATTAATGGACAAAATCACTGAAACGTGTTGCTTTTTAATTGGTTTTTGGAAGTAAAGTGATACATTCACGCGTTGTCATCAGCGTGTTCACAAACATAGGGAGAAAATTGATCAAAATGGTCTATTTACAAAGATATTTAATATTTTTGTGGAGTAATAGGATGCTTGCATAGTAAATGTGTCTTTTTGAAAATTCGAGACAACTTCAGGTGTCACTTTATGTATTTTCTCATAACTAATACATATAATAGTTATACAACCTTTCAATGTTATAAGTGTATAACTAATATTCTCTCTGTTTCATATTGCCTGGCGCATGTTGGTTTGACATACTGATTCTTAAGAAAACTTTAATTAGAGGTATAGTTAACTAATTTGAAACTTTAAGTTTGTTTATTACTAATTATGTAGTTATCTTGATTTCATAAATTAGACAAGTAAATTAAAATAATTATTTTTAGTATGAGGGCAAGTAATATGAAATGGAGGGAGTACGTACATTGTAAACTATGGTACTCCCTCCATTTTAACTTGTTTGTCAGATTTTGGACTTGGTACAAAGAAGACTTTTGTATCTTGTGGTCTTAAAAATATGTAGAATGTAGCAAAATGTCCTATAATCTTGTGGTTCTTAAATATGTCATGTAAAAAATTATAATTAATGAATTACCAAAAAAAGAAAAGGAAAGCGACTTTCTTTTTAAAATAAACTGAACGAGAAGAATATTAGCAATATAAGAGTTATGAATATATGAATAAACATAGTTAAAAGATAAAAAAAATTGTCCCCAACATACCAAATCAAATGGTGGATAAAGAATAATCTCAACACGATTTATTCCATCACTATTATTAATCACAATACTATTAATATATTCTTATACAATATACCAAACGACCTCTGAATATCGTAGAGAGGCGACCTTGTGGAGGGGGGACTAGTATTTGTTTGGCTCGATGTCGACATACCAATTGCCAAAAAGAGATTATAGTATCACAAAAATAACTATTCTAACACAAAAGGTCTTTGATCGATCATAGAATAAAAAATTAAAAACATTTTATATGCCCATTTGTTACTTGTTCTGATAGTTGGTCACTATCAATTCTGATTAGACCTAATAATTCATGATCTTCAAAGTGATAAACATGCAAATGATGATGCAATCAATTAAGCATTATATTAATTAAGGTAGAATATTCACAAGATTATTTAAATTTATTATTTGAAGGTATAATTAAATTCAAGATAAATTTTTTTATATTTTATACTTGGTGTAGTTTTATCCACTTAGGAGATAGGTGTGATAAATTAGTCCAAAGGCCAAAATTATAATTTCGAAATAACTTTATCCGCAAATCAAATGATTTGTGATACTCCCTCCATCTTGAATGTCGTTTTTCTCTCATGTTAAATTATATAAATTTGAGAAGTATTACAATTTATAGTACTTTTTCTATAGTTCGTAGATATGTAAATTTTAATTTAAAATATTAAATGAATTTAATTTTATTTATCTCTAAAAATTATTAAATTATTTTAAAAAAAAACGTGATAGATATTTTGGGACAGAGGGAGTAAGTGATAATACTTCTAGATGACATCAACATAACCTTTTTTTTTATATATAAATTTATTTATTTTTAATTTTGGCATATATTTAATTGAAAGTCTTCTATTGATTTGTCTTTGGCTTATATTACTCTCCCTCCCTTCTTTGATTTATTTAAGAAAATAAATCGTAAGTAGGGCAGGTGGAACAACGAATGAAGAAATTTCATACACAAGGACTTTTAATAAACATTTAAAAAGTATTTAGTGCTTAGTTTCAAATTTGTTATATTTATTCTATTGGCTTACACTCATAAGTAAACTAAAAGAATAAATATATTTATATTTATTATTAAATATTAAGGAGAATGAAAATTTATTCAAAAGACAGCTCAGATATTTAAGGCCATGATATTTGACCCAAAATATTTTAAAGAACTTTTATAGTAGCCATGGGCCATGGCTTGTACTCTCTGTTGTTGATCTTTTTTTTAATTTTTTTTTTATTAATATAAGATAGCTAGACACATAATTTAATAGTATAAATTTGCAAATAAATAAATAAATAAACGACACCAAACATAACCATTTCCTACTTTGCAAAGTAACTTTTAATTTTCACCTAATTCATGACCTAAAATTATAATAGTTGCAAAATATAATCTCTTGTATGATAAATTCATTCATTTAATGTTATTTTTTTGAGATAGTACAATTATTATTTGACTAATTATTTTTATTCTTCTTATATTGCAATCATATGAATTCATGTCAAGCATGCTGGTTGATTTAAGATTAATATTGGTGGATGAAAATAAAAGAAATTAAAAGGAATAAGAGTCTGAAAAATATCTCAACTTTGGCCGAAATTGTTGTTACGATACCAAACTTTAATGAGGATCTATTACCCCCAGACTATTTAATACCATATTTTAAACTTATATATTTGCCCACGTGGACATAAAAAATAATGCAAAATTATAAATATTAATGTGTCCACGTTGAGCACATATATACCTTTTAAAATACACTATTAAAATAGTTCAGGGGGTAAAAAATACACTATTAAATAGTTCATGGGGTAATAGGTCCTCCATAAAAGTTTGGTATCGTAACAACAATTTCGATCAAAATTGAGATATTTTTCAGACCCTTATCCCAAATTAAAACTACACATAAGGTATATGAATACTTGCGTAAGTTTTGACCCAAAACATACGATTATGGAGATTGGAGATTAGAGAAAACACTTTTAAAATTTAATTTGTTATTTCCTCCGCACCCTCCAATACTCCCAAACCCCACCCCCAACCTCCCATATTTTCACTCCATAATATTTTTCCAAATTATATGAAAATGGTCTTTATTAGGGTTTTATCTTGATTTTCTTATCATATTTTTTTTTTTAAAAAAAAAAAAAGTCAAAGTATTATCATAAAAAGAGATTTAAGATTAATATTGATAGATAAAAAGGGAATGAATAAAAACTACATGTAAGGTATATGAATACTTGCATAAGGTTTGACCCAAAACATACGACATCACATTTTTCCTGTGGAGATTGGAGACTAGAGAAAACACTTGTAGACACGTCATTTCAAGTTTAATTTGTTATTTCCTCCTCACCCTCCAATACTCCCAAACCCCACCCCCGACCTCCCACTTTCCCACTCTATAAAATTTTCCTAGATTATATACAAATGATCTTGAGATCGAATAGTATCTTTCTTGCTTATCAATCAAATCCCACAAAATAAGTAACAAAGAAACCCCCACTTATTTTCCAAAAAATATATATTTTTATTTTATACCAAACACACCTTGAATCTTTTTTGGTAAGTGATTCTGACAAGGCCATCCCACTTGCTAATATACAAAATAGTGCCATCTCTACTTTATTTCTCAAGTATATTCCCACCACAATGCAAAAAATGTGTTCCAATCCAAGTCAATGCTTTATATTTAATCTTTTTTGCTTCAATGGATAAAATTTCCACTTTCTTATTAGTTTCTTGGATTATATTATTTTATTAACTATTATGGGCTTCTTGAATACTTCAACATATATTATATATATACCCCTTTTTATTTCTACTCATTCATTATACACTTAGGTGGAAACAAGTTTGAAAAAAATACTATACTAGCTTCCTTTGTTCATTCAATGGCCAAAATATATCCAGAAACACTCAAGAACTCTTCTTCTTCTTCTTCGTCGTCTTCGTCTTCGTCTTGTTATGTGACATCCACAAGAGAAACATTTACTATATGGATGAAATCCCTAGTGTATCATGGAAATGGTTGTACTGTTTTTAATTCTAAAGGTGATATTGTTTTTAGAGTTGATAACTACCAAGAAAGAAATAGTAATGAAGTTTTCCTCATGGATCTTAGTGGACAAGTTCTCTTCTTTATTAAAAAAGAGGTAATAACAAAAAAACTTACTAGTGTGTCCTTTTTCCGGTTTAGTTTCTCATATGGTGTTCAGTATTCACTAGGACATGATTAAATGGGAATTCCCAAAATCATTGGCATAGTTAGAGTAAACATAGCTTCTTGTTAAAGGCGATTTCATTTTTAGGACTTAAACTTGAGTTAATTAAGTTTAATTTTAATTAATTATATTGTTTTGAACTTTGTTATATTTTTTTTTCTACAGAGACTAAGATTACTTGGTAGGTGGAGTGGATATTTAAGTGGTGGATTTAAAGGAAAGCCATGGTTTCAAGTGAGAAGAAATTGGAAGTATTCAAAAGGAGATGTTATTTGTGATGTAAATTTAGGGTGTGATAAATCTATAGGAAGTTGCTATAAGATTCAACAAATCGACAAAAAATCATCATTTCAAATCTCAAATAATACTGGTCAACTTGTCGCAAAGGTAATTATTCAATTCAAAGAATTTATTTTGAGTATTTATAATTAAACAACATTATACTATATATTTTTTTGTTTTATTAATTAAAATTGTGTATATTATATAGGTAAATCAAAAGCAATCATCAAGAGGATTTGGGTATGGTGATGATGTGCTAACTCTAGAAGTGGAACCTCAAGTTGATTACTCATTTATTGTGGCTCTTGTGACAATATGTGGTTTGATTAAACACAAATTATAAAGAGCACAATTAGTCTAAAATTGACTATTGCAAGATATAATCCTGAAAATTCAAAATTCATGGTCTCCTCAACATACATGAACCATGAAATTTCAAGCTGGCGCGAATGCTATCGAATGGAAAATTTTCATTTTTCAGTTCAAAATCCGATTTGAGGAAAAAAAAAAGTTCTAGGTCAAGGTAGTAGCACGTATGGTACAACATCAGTCCCTTGATCTCAGTGCAATGTATGAGACTTAGTCAAGAGATCGATCTGAAGATACCGATAAAAAAAAAGGAAAGAAGGTAGATATTACTTTGATTCATGTTGAGCTTCATGTTCATTTTGGGCCTTCTGTTGACTCAAGGCCCATTAAAACCGAGCCCACTGGCCCATACTTCATGGTTTGACAATTTTGCGTATATGCTTTCATGTATAGTCTATTTAGTTGATTAATTCATTTATAATACAAAGTTTTGTACTGTTACGAGTTCATTTGGGTTGACTGATTAAAAATAGTTGACTAGTTTCAAGTGTAAAATACTGAAATTTATTTTATCAATAAATAATTATGCGTTTAGATAAAAAAAAATTGTTGAATGTGATAAGAATCAATAAGTGTGTTCAACACTTTTTTCTAAAATAGATGAAATACCCTTAATAACAGGGTGAAAGCAAGATATAAAAGGAGCTACAGATTTTATTTTGGACATGATATTTTGGTTGGAATTACAAAAAATATTAGCGATTATATCGTATAGTAAAAAGTTTGGTCAAACAATAAATACGCTTATAAATATCTTGATTCACTCGTTGCATTCATCCAGTATGCATGTGCCAAACACCATCCACATGGTGTGACTAATAAGATGATTGAATGTCCAGGTGAATGTATATAAGACTAGATGTTGGTGCGTGTGTCAGCACGAGCTCAAAATATGTCATTATTTTTGTCTCAATTTATGTGATATAAACGAAATTTGAAGAATCAATCAATTTTATATATATATATATATATATATATTAAAGCTATTAATTTATTCTAATTTTTGCGTCATTTTTAAATAATGTATGTTACTTTTCATTTCAATTCACATGGATACTCATAAATATTTTAGTTGTTTGTTTATTGTGAATTTTGTAATAACTTTTGATGTCATTCAAATATTATATGATACTTCTTTTGTTTCAATATAAATGGTACATATGAAATTAGAGAGCAAACCAAAATATTTTCAATAGCTAATTATTGTGATTTATAATATCTTTTATATAAATTTTAATAATATATGTTACTCCATCTATTCATACTCATACTGATAAAATTTCAAGAATGAATTAAACCTTTGATAATGAAAAGAAAATTGGAAAAAAGTGAAATAAAGAGATACAAGGAGCCCACATGAATGAAAAATGAGCCTACTTTTCGGTTGAAGTAAAGCAAAAAGTGAAATATGAAATGACTTTTATGTCCTATAAAGAGAAAGTGCAATTGTAAAGCAGGTACTCCCTCCGTCCCATTTTATGTGGCAATATTTGATCGGGCACGAAGTTTAAGAAATAAATGAAGACTTTGAAATGTTTGCTAAATTATCCTTTAAAAAGTAGATTCATCTTTCTATCTCCTTATAAATGTATTGGAGTATTATTTTAAGATTAAGTTGGATCAATAAGGGTAAAAAAAGAATTGTACCTTTAAATACTTCTTATATAAGGAAATGTGACATTCTTTTTGGGACTGACCAAAAAGGAAATGGTGCCACATAAAATGAGACGGAGGGAGTATAATATTGTTTCAACATAGTATTATAAAAATTCCAATATTGCCCCTGGCTAGGGAAGCATGCATATTGACCAAAAACTGTTTACCTAGCCTCTTATACTATATAGTACTTCCTCCGTCCTATTTTATGTGAGGTAGTTTGACTCGATACAAAGTTTAAGAAAGAAATGAAGACTTTTAAAACTTGTGGTCCAAAATGAATGAATAGAAATTTCCCTCTATACCATTTTATGTGAGGTAGTTTGACTCGACACGGAGTTTAAGAAAGAAAGGAAAACTTTTAAAACTTGTGGTCTAAAATGAATGAATAGAAATTTCCCTCCGTCCCATTTTATGTGAGGTAATTTGACTCAAACACGGAGTTTTAAGAAAGAAAGGAAAACTTTTAAAACTTGTGGTCCAAAATGAATGAATAAAAATTTGTGTGAATGTAAATCATTTCATTAAGGGTAAAATAGATATTTTATAGTTAAATTATTACTTAATATAGAAATGTGTCATTCTTTTTGGGACTGATTAAAAAGGAAAGTAAGTCACATAAATTAAGACAGAGAGAGTAGTAAATAACACATGTTAAAATTATTCCAAGTCTAAAAATCACATGCAAAACCTTATTCACATAGTAATATCTTCTTATTGACAAGCTGCTAGGGCCTTTTAATTTATTTTACTTTTTTAAAAAACTAATAGGGGCTTTCTATCGACATTGCAAATCAAAATTCTAATATGTTAGAAAAATAATTAAATAACTATTTTTATATATTTGAAAATAATTAAATTACAATTTTATCTCTACTGTTATAATATAAATATCTCAATTTTCCTTACTTGTATCCGATTTTTATCCGACTACACATATTACCTTTATACAAGAATTATCACATCTATTCTCCTTCAATCAGCAACTTTATTCATCAACTCATCAAGAATTATCATATCTAGGGTGATAATTTTGCGAGTTAGGTCAAATTTTGATGGATCATAATGAATCAAAATATTACTCCCTTCGTTTCACAAAGAATAGTCTAGTTTGACTTGACACGGAGTTTAAGAAAATAAAGAAAATTTTTGAATCTTGTGATCCTAAATTAAAGTTATATCAAATGTACAAAATTGTCCTTTAATCTTGTGACCTTAAACATGTCACATGGAAAATTGAAATTAAAATGTTGCCAAAAAAAAAAAGAGGTCATTCTTTTTTAAGCAGACTAAAAAGGAAAGGAGATCATTCTTTTTTAAACGGAGGGAGTATAAATTATTAACAAGATACATAAAATTAATTACAGGTACTTTTACATGAAAAAAATAAAGCACAAGTGAAAACAAGATATAAAAGATTAAATGTTTATAAGATAGTATGATGTGACAAATAAGGTGATTTAGATGTTTATAAGTTAAACACATTATACAATTATTCCAAAGTCTAAAAATCACATGGAAAACCTTCTTCACATAATACCTTCATATTGACAAGCTAATAATGGACTTTTAATGAAAATAATAATTTGGGGTCTGAAAAATCTACAAACAAGTTGCTACAAGATTCAACAAACTGACAAAAAATCATCATTTTGAATTGTTAAAAAGTGATTATACTTTTGACCTTTTTCTTATTATTTTTTTAAAATTATACTAATTATTTTGTTTTATTTAATTTGATATATTAATAGTGAAAAGTTCAAAATTCATTTTGATCCTCCAATGAACCATGTTGGTCTTCTTGTTCTTTTTGGACCTTCTGTCAACTCAAGGCCACTTTAGACTTGGCCCACTATACCAAGTCCAATTAGCTTTGTGATTAGATACTTATGTGTTTTGACAATTTTGCCCATGCGTATATATTTTCAATTATAGTCAAACCTTTTGTGTTTGAACATTTCAATATGGCTGCTAAAGTGAGGTGATGTTATATACGTGTACTGACATTTGACGATGCTTAAACTCCATTTAGCTGTTGTAAATAACTAGTTTAATGATTGTGTATCAAGAAGAAGTAATGTATTTGCTAATGTAATTGATATAACCAAAACAACATAAAGAGTACGAACATAAAAAGAGCAAACATCTATAGCCTTTTTCATAAATTTATGACCATAACTGATGGATATCGTTTAAATGCAATTTTTTTTCTTTTAATATCTGTAATTGAAATACACTATGTGCATGACAATTAATGATATATGATTATATAATAATGAAAGAAACAAAAACAATCTATTATTTAACAGAAATATTTTAGAACTTTGAATTAAATTATTAAAATTTTTATATTAATTAATAAAGTGTTTACAATAACATCCAAAATAACGTATTGCAAACATGTAGTTAATATCTTATAAAATTGAATTAATCCTCAATATTATAAAAGATAATATTACTATGTGAAGTTGATCACTCATTTTATTGAAATGCTCTTATTAAATATATTAATATCAAGACAGGATGAGAAGATTCCATTCTCATATGTGCATTGATTTTTTTACTAGTTCATTATAATTCAATCTTAGTTTGAAACATGACAACATTTAAGATAAAAATTAGAACTTATCCGACATATATGTGTTATCCTCTATCATTGCACTTAGAAAATCGTAAAAATCTTCTGTCTTTTATAATTTAAGTTGTTTAAAAAAAATCAAAAACATGAGATATACATATGTTTTTACTCATATTTTTGTCATCTAATTATCGCCCAATTCCTCTTAACAATGAAATTGATGAGTAATAAAATTTAGAATCCAACTATGATGGAATCAATCTGGCCTATAGGAAATATAGTTAAAAATTAGGTTAATATAATTATTTAAAATTGTAGTCAGTTATGAGAATGGACTAGAACTGTGGTCTACTTGATTTCATAAGATCTATTTCGATACTTAGTATACAAAATTAATAAATTTGATTTACCTAACGTTTTTCGACCCTAATCTATATATATATAAAGCTAGATAAAAAAGAAGTGATGTGGCACCTCTCAATGGCCAAGGATCCTATTTATTTATTTTTTGTCGTCTTTTTTGACATTTTATTTTTATTTTTTTAATTATTGTATTTTATAAAATCATTTCTTTAATTCATACATCTTCAATTACATAAAACCTCTTAATTAATTTAGTAATGTTTATAACTCATCACCTTTCATATTCATAACCTTCAAAATATTTAATGTATAAATTTATAACTCTTCAAAATCACACTTATAAAAACCTATTTTGAGACATATGTGATAATTATTTTATTTTCATTTTTCTTATTTTTCATCGTTTGTCTCTTTGGTTGGTTAATTTTTTGTCTTCTTTGATATGATTTTGTAGGAGAGAGATCTATAAAGAAGAATATTAGACATTTTTGCATAGTTTGATTTTACGAGGTAAAATGATTTGACATGCATAATATAACTATCACTTTTTTCTATTGTAATTATGTTTTAATAATTTTTTTGGATTCTTGATTACACGAATCATGATTATTATTTTTTTAGAAAAAATGATTTGATTTTTTTCTCTTTGCTTCTCTTTATAGTTTCTAGAGAATATTAATGTTAGACATTCTTGCATAGTTTGATAATGATTTGACATGTTTAATATAATTATCACTTTTTTTTATTGCAACTATACATTTAATATTATTTCTTTTGGA